AGGGAAGCAGAAGCATGGAATCAAACATGACCCCTGGATGGTCCAGATTAATTTTACATGCAAGATCAGATACACAGATCTGGGGTTCTTTAGATGCCCTGTAGGCTGATATATATCTCCTTAACCAATTGGTATATGAAATTAATCCTAAGGGGAAAGGACAAAAATACCTCCTAAGATTATCTGAAGTGTGGTGGGGGCCTTGTGAGTAGGGTCAGCTACTGAAATCTGATTGACCTTCAAAATCCGAAAGACTGGTCTTTCCATCTCTTCTGCCTATTTTATGGGAAAGTGAGGAGGAAGACTTTGTCTGAAGTCAGGATGGGCCTGGCTGGTGAATGATGTTACTCACTGGGTTGAAGAGCACGTACTTGAAGAGCGGGTTGGGGTACAGATGGTGAGCAGACTCTTGCCAGCCGGACAACTTTGCCGAGTGAGGAGCTCCAGGAGGTGCAGTGGCTGGGGATGAAGATGAGGTACGCCCCAACGAACCTGGTGCTGGGTGGGATGAGGCAAAAGCACGCACTGAGCTATTTTAATCCCACAGCTGCTGATGCCTTGAAGCTCTACGTGGTAGGATCTGGAAAGATCCATTTTTCAAAGCTGGGTGGGTCCTGCTTACATTAAGATGCCGGATCCCCATTCACGGCGCCAATTTCGTTCGTCCTGTGGTCTGTACGATTCTATTTTAGTGCATTATTTTTGATATTCATGGAAGCATTTTCTTACCCTACACACATGTATGTGCACACACACACTTTAAAAAAAATTTTAAATTATTTTATTTTGTGTATGAGTGTATTGACTGCATGTATGTAGCACCCGTGTCATGCGGTGCCACAGAGGTCAGAAGAGGGCTTCGGATTCTTCTGGACTGGAGTTAAGGATGGTTCCTGGCTGCCATGTGGGTGCTGGGAATCGAACCCGGGTCCTCTGCAAGAACAGTCAGTGCTTGTAACCATTGAGCCATCTCTCCAGCCCCTTGAAACACTTTCTTATCATTAATGTGGGTCAATACACTTTCAAATGTCTATTTGACATTTAGACTTTAAGCTCTGCCAAATGCCTGCTCACATTCCTCTTCTAGATTTTGTAAAAGCACTCTCTGCATGTTTAGATAGCAATTCTTGACCAATTGCTTATATGTGTAACAAATATTTTCTTCTGGTTAGTGGTAAACATTTTGTTTCAGATCAAACATTCTAGACAAAATGACCCCGGATGAGGCTCATGTAGGTGATGCAGCTGTTACAGCACCTGCAGATGCGGCAGTTATCGGAGCGCCCTGTTAACTCTTCATGACTGCTGTGAAAACATCAGTGTGATGTGTGCAGTGTTCACCGTTAACACGCTTTTTAAATTCTGGGCTGCTCAGCTTTGCACAACTAACACACCTGCATTTTATTCTGATGTCACAGTTTGTCTTTAGAACAAACACAGGGCTTTGTGGATTTGCTTCCTGACCTAGGTCTAAAGGTGCATCGAATATAACCAACACAGTCATACTCTGCTCTTTCTGTAAAGAACTCTTGAGACACTTTTATTCAAAGCATTTTCAGAATAAGGATACAGAGCTATGGTTGCACAGTTTGCATGTCCCTAAGTTTCCCTGATCCCGGCCTAAGGATTGTTCCAGATGTTCTGTGGGTTGGGATTTCTGTTCAGTGTGCTTATGCTGAGTTGTTTTCTGAGATTAAAAAAGGGATTGTTTGTTAAATTCTCTTTGTTGACTGCTGGTAATTTTAAATTAATTATTCTTCATAATTCCTATACAGAGTTGAGCACTTGTCTGTATTTTCCCCTGGGTTAAACTAAAGAACATAACTTTTTGTGATGTGGTATGTTTTTGCCCAGTATTACATTTCTTTTTTCCTTCTTTTTAATGGGTCTGGGATTTGAACCCAAGGCCTTATGCATGCTAGGCAAGTGGTCTGCCACTGAGCTGTACTCCCAGCCCAAGGTTAACTCTGATCATAGGGGTTTCGTTATTTTTTATTTTTATTTTTTTTCGAGACCGTCTCGGTGTAGCCCTGGTTGGCCTGGAGCTGCCTTGTGTAGCCGAGACTGGCCTTGAACCTGGTGTTGAGGTTACAGGAGTGCGCCGCCACGCCCCCAGCTCAAACTCCATTTACTTAAAGTAGTTTTGGCGATTATAGGGCTCGGAAAATTAGCCATCGGTAAATGAAAAACAAGGTATTGCTATATGGTGTATATTCAAGACTGATCATGAAGAATATTTACTTTGCCAAAGACTCACTACGATTCATTTCCTTTGGGTTTTGTTGTTTGTTTTTGGTTTTTTGAGACAGGGTCCCTGTAGCCCAGGCTAGTCTCAAACTCCTGATTTTGAGCTCTTGATCCTTCTGCTTCTAGTGACCCAGTGTGGAATTACAGGTGCACATGCCTGGCTTAGAAAAATTAAGTTTAATTATAGTCTTAGACCTGGCAGCGTCTGCTTCTCAATCACAAAGCCCTTTTGACATGAGCTCCCTGTGTCCCCTGGCCTCTAGCCTCAGCAGTCCTCTTGACGTTGACCACCCGCTCCGCCCCCTTGTGTTGGTCTCACACATGTACCTCCGTGTGTTCTCTTCTCCCATTCTTCAGGACTCACTTTCTGCTTAGTGTCTTGCTGACAGTATCTCCCAGCTTTCCTTTTTCTTACCTGGAGCAGAGGCTGACTCCTTCACGTCCCTCCTGGTGTCATGGTGACAGTGCTGATGCCACTCTGAATTTACCCCACAAGCTTCCGCAGGCCTTCGCTGCGCATCCCTTCCGCCCTTTGCAGTTCTAGTTCCATTACATGAAAAGGACAGGTGGTTAAGAGGTAGACAGCGGTGATCTTGAGGAGCATTGCCTCACCATGAAATAAGTCAAGTGGTGTTTAGTATGACTGAGAACAAACCACAGAGTCAAATGCTGAAGGGTTTTGGTAATGTGTGCTTGACCATTTTACTATAGTGAGTTGTGGAATTCTTTTTTTTTTTTGAGCTAATTAGTGGGAGAACAATCTGAGAGGCAGGACTGCTTTCTGCTTTGAGCAGTGTCTTTGAAAGAGTTCAGTGGCCTCAACAGGAACATGTTTTTAAAGAGATGAGAAAGGGTTGGGAGAGGGCTGAAACTCCTTGTGTGTCAGAAACAAATGGGAGTGTAACAGAGTAAGGAGGCAGGGGAGATGGGAGTCCTCGAAACCCATGAGTCCAAAGTTTGGTTCACTGAGACACAGGGTGGGCGATGAGACTTGGGATGGCGTTTCCATCTGCTAAGGAAACAGCAGGGGAGATTGACTGGGTACAACACCTTCCAGGAAAGAAGTTAACTGAGGAACGCAGTGGTTGTTGGGTGGTACCGACTCCAACCTGGCTGAGCCCCGATGTGGACCAGATCCTTTCATCAACTTCTATTGACCCACAAGAAAAGCATTCGGTTTGGTCTCAGTTTATCAATTTTTGAATTGATCCTGGAGTACACTGTGGGAAGAACAGCTTGGGACAAATGAAATTAGCCTCATGTGTCCCCTTTACTTCTTCCTGAGCTTAGGCAGTGGTCCCAATTAGATGTGGGAGCCTGACACCACCAGTAGTCAGGAGGTTAGGGCATCCTCGACCCAAGCTGAACTTGATGTTGATCACAAGTGCGATTTTGTGCTTTCTGTCACTCAGGGAGGTAGCTGCTTTGTCATTTATGTCCTGCACTGTCAGTTCCTGTCATTTTGGGCACAGAATTCTACCTTCTCTTCCTTTAGAACCTTTGCCTAAGGGGCCCACGTTAGCAAACGCAGCTTCCCTTGTCCACCCAGGCAGCCCTTATTCTCAACAAGGTTATTTTCATCTCTGAAGACCCAGCTTAAACTCAGCCCCCTGCATAGCACTGTCTAAAGCAATAGATGTCTCTCCCCCCTCTGCTCCTTACCCTTCCTCCCCATTTCTCTCTGTCTCTCTCTCTTTCTCTCTCTCTCTCTCAACAGTGAGCTATATCCAGTTCAAATCCTTGTTTTCTCAGTTCTCTGCCTTCTTAAATAGGCTGTAGTTTTCTCGTAAGAAGAAAGATATCTTCTATGTTTTTTAAAACAAATTTTAATTTATTATTTTTATTTTATGTATATGAGTATTTCACCTACATGAATGTAAGTGCACCACTTGTGCGCAGTGCCTGCAGAAGCCAGAAGAGGGCATCAGATCCCCTGGAATTGGAGTTACAGATAGTTGTTAGTTGCCATGTGGGTGCTGGGAATCGAGCCTAGGTCCTCTGGAAGAGCAGTCAGTGCTCCTAACGGCTGTGCTGCCTCTGTAGCCCCTAATTGATGTTTTTTATATTGTGATTCCAACAGGTGATATTTAAGATATGCATATGCCTTATATTTGCCTTTTTTATGATGGACCATAAAATGATTATTGTAATTAAGTGCTTTAGCGTTTCAGGTATTTTCTACAAGGCTTACTACTCGTATAATTTATGATATTTTCAATTTAAGTCCTGTTTTCTCTTCCTCATTTTCCTGCACATACATGGTTGGTTGGTTCCCAGTTGTGACTCTTAAGGATGTCATAGTAGCCCAGCAGAACAACCTGATACTAAGCTGTACTGTCCTTTCTTCCCCGAGGTGTGGTCTGCCCCTCCATCATTTCCATGCAGCTCATCTTGGCGATGAAGTGATGCCTATGTGCTCTTGGTGATGTGTCCCCTTCATACACCCCTGTAAAATCATGATCTGTCTACAACATATATTCACATACTGGTAATATGTGCAATAACTCTTTATTCTAACTTTCATTCATTGATGGTCAGCAATGCCATTTATCTTATAACTTGGTTTACATCAGGTAGTAGCAATTTGTAGGCCTCATTCAAGCTAAGAAACTTTTTATGCAATAAAAGCACAGTATTGGCATCTAGGAGGAATAACTTCTGTATAAAATAACTTCAAACTCTATTTATTGCAAAGGTAGTAAGTTTATTACAAATGTACATGTGGTATAAATGTACACCTGTGCTTATTCTAGGAATCAAACATCCTAAGTCCAGTGCAAGACGGTGCAAAGACACCTCAGATTGACAGCAAGAAGAGCAACAACTACCGCATCGTCAAAGAGGTCAGCGGACGGGAAGGTTCCTCTCTAGCGTGCGCTTGCCGGCGGGTGAGCCTTGCTTACGTCTCCCGTTGAGTTTTGCCGTCTGTTACATTTCATGCTTTGCTTCATCTTTTTCAAGATTTTGATCAGGCTGAGTAAACTCTGCGTGCAGAATAAGAAGTGTCGGAATCAGCACCAGCGGCTGCTGAAGAACATGGGGGCCCATTCGGTGGTGCTGGACCTTCTGCAGATACCCTACGAAAAGGTCCGTCCCCGCTACCTCCGTATTTACATTTGGTATGGCTTCAATTGTATCACCAAGTTAGGAGGAATTTTTCTCCCTTAACTATTCGGGAGGAAGTCCCCCATTTAGTGCACATTGTCCCTGAGCCTTTCTGCGTGTGCTTTATGGACACAGGGCACGCTGTTACGTAACCACACCTCAACTCTCCAAAGGAGAACAACACTTTACTGTCCTGAATACCCCGTGCCATTGAGATTTCTCCTACTTCCCAGTCCTGTCCTGTTAACAAAGGACCTACTTGAGAAACACGCAAGCCTTGGTTGCCATGACTACTTCTCTCTCAATCCTGAACTCTCTGGACACTCACACTTTTGCAGATTGCAGTTATTTTGAAGATTGTAGATTGTCCCGAGTTCGTGGTGTGGTTAAGTTCAGTTCTGTATCTTTGGCAGGGACATAACAGGATGCTGAGTTCTGCTCAGAGCTTCTTAGCAGGCGCAGGCCACTCTGATTTGCTCCATCACTAGTGATATGTCTGCAGGTCCCTCTGTGACATCCTCCTCCTGCCTTTCCTGAAGCGTTCTGTGTGTTCTGTGTGGAGATTCTGAGAAGCCACATCCCAGTCTCCATTCAACTTTAATTCACATTTTATTTTGATTAGCATGCGTGCTGGATGCCTATTTTGTTCCCTGCATCATTACAGGTTTCTATCTATTTTGATTCTCAGATTTTTCATTTTTTGACTGGTAAAGATTTTTTCAAACCAGATCCTCTGCCCCGTCACATGCCCCATCATTCTTGGGGGGCTCCGTTGCATTCTAATGCAGTAAGGTGTTCCAAGTCCGCCTTATTTCCTTTCTGCTCCATTCCTGGAATCAGCCGGTTATTTAAGAAGCAAATTTTGTTGAATGTTCTAGTCTGCTTCTCTATTGCTATGATAAAAACACTAACCAAAACCAACTTGGAGAGGGAAGGGCGTTTCTCATCTCATCCTTACAAGACTTGGTCCTTTTTTTTTTTTTTTTTTCCTTTTTTGGTATAGTCCATTTTTGAGGAAAGTTAGGCAGGAACTCGTGGCAGGAACCTGGAGGCAGGAGCTGGAGCACAGGCCGTGGAGGAATGCTGCTGACTGGCTTGCTCCCTTGGCCTGTGCTCAACCTGCTTTCTTATACAACACCACCTTCCCAGGGGTGGCACCACCCACAGTGGGCTGAATCCTCCCACATCACTCAACAATCAAGAAAATGCCCCACAGACATGGCCAAAGGCCAGTCCCATGGAGGAAATTCCCCAAGTGAGGTTCACTCCACCCAGGTGTGTCAAGTTGACAGCTAAAGCTCTGCCTCTGTGTAAAGGCCCTCTGCACTCCATCAGGCCTGATAATGCTCAGAGCAGGTGTTCGCTTTCTCTCTCCGGTGCTGACATCCGTGCCAGACCTCTTTTGACCCGAACCCTCCCACTTGAGCTTTCACTGCGTTCCCTGCTCCATCCAACTTTTACCTTTTAATGTGGAAACTTGCACTACTTAGAAGATGTCACAATTCAAAGTGTGGCAGAGAATTCAATGAAGAACCAATAAAGGTATTAAATTCTTAGCACTGATTATCCAGATAATTTTATGCCCTGCTGCCAACGAACCGTCCATGTTTTGTTGCTGTTTTGTTCTCGTGGGTTTGCTCAGTTTTAATAACTGGATTGCTCCGACATACAGAAAGGAGTACGACTGAGTTTTCAGAGAAACACTCAGAACAGTAACATGGGCTTGATAATGTTGCCGGCTGCTTTCCTGTGGGAACTGGGTGTTTCCATGGTGAAGCTGCCTGTGCTGTCTTCTAACTATTCCTGGATTGTGGGAGTCAAAGAAAGTTGGTCAACTTTGAAATAAAACTTTTCTATTTCTTCCTTCAGAATGGGATTGTTGTATTTACCAGCCCAGTTAATCAATCCCTATCTAAAGTATGAAGAAGTGGGCTTATCAGTGTTATTAATGTTCCTTCCCCATGTGTTCAGGAACAATTGGCACAAATTACTGAGCCTTAGATTTAGAAAAAAGAAAATGTTGAATTCACGTTCTGTATCCTTCAAAGCCCGAATCTACTTAAAGACTCTGCCAATGACCACATGACAAACAGGACAATCAAATTTCATGGACATTTTAGATGGTGATGTCAGAAGGCCATATTTCCAAAGAAAAATTTGCATTTTCCTATGAAAATTGAGGCCCGTTTCTATTTTTAAATTTATTATTTTTATTTTATGTGTGAATGTAATGCCTGCGTGTACGTAGGTGCACCTGTGTCATATAATGCCCGTGGGGGTCATAAAAGGGTGTTAGATCCTCTGGAATTGTCTTACAGATGGTTGTTAGCCATCATGTGGGTCCTGGGAATTGAACCTGGGTCCTGTGCAAGAGCAGCCAGTGCTCCTAGCTGCTGAGCCATCTCTCCAGCCCAGCCCAGGCCTGTTCTTTTTTTCTTTACATTTATTTATTTATTTATTTATTTATTTATTTATTTATT